ATACATCAGCGTTTGTTCAACTAAACAGGCCTAGGTTTCAGAACTGTGAGTAAATCAAAATTAGAAGATCATTATATTTTGTTACATAAACGTTTGTCTGTTTTGTTTGGTGGTGAACTGTGCGATTTCTGTAATGTAAAATAGGATGTGTTGCGTCTCAAAAAAGACCAAAACCTAGTAGAGGAACACTGCCACCTATGGGGCTAATGTATTAGCCCTGCGCCGCCTATTTTCCATTTGGATCAAATTAAAATAATTTAATAATAATTAAAATAATTAAATAAATACAGTATTATTTATGATATTTATTTTATTTTATTTTATTTATAATATATATTAATTTATATTAATATATATTAATATAAATAATATTTTATTTATAATATTATTAATAATTTAATAATAATTAAAATAAGATCAAATTAAATTTCTACAGGTAGAAAACTGTAGCAAAAAAATATTCTGCAGTGCCCAAAAAATTGCCATTTTCCAAGGTCAAAACTTTAGCGAGTACTCAGTAGTACTCAGTAGTACTCAGTAGTATTCATAAACAGACAGGTTAGTTTTCTGGTATCGGTTCAGAAAGCGGCGCTGCCTTTATTTCACCAGTGTTAGCATGTTAGCTGATCACGTGATGTGGACCTGCTGTTCTGCTGCAGTACGGACCCAACGCTCGCCTCCTCCCCCCCCTCCCTCATTACATCGGCCTTTCATGCTACTCGACTTCCTTTTATCTCCTCCCTTCTCCCTTCATTGCTCCTTTTCATCCCACATTCTCCCCTACTTTCCCTCCCTTTCTCTCCCCCCTGCATGTCTTCTCCCTCCATCTGTCTCCCTCTTTCTTCTCCTGTCTTTTCATGTGGTTGTCCAGGAGATAATCTGGAGTCAGCAGCAGATAGACCAAATTGTTCCCAACATGGTGTTCCCTTTCAGTTTTAGTCACCGGCTCTGTCTGGCCCGCCTGACACCGAGTGATACACACACACACGCACACACACACACACGTGTGTGTGTGGATGTCTGGGATGCAGCAGGTTGCAGATAAGCCTCTCTCACTGGCAACACCATGTGCTGAGCTGTCTGAGAGAGAGAGAGAGAGGGAGAGAGAGAGAGAGAGGGAGAGGGTAGGAGGGGGGAGACAGGGAGGGAGGTTGTGTGTTGGGTCTAAAAGGAGAAGAAAGATTGAGCAGGATTGATTTCCGCCGTCACCATGGCAACAAATAACATGATCCTCGCCAAAAGCACACCTTAATTAGTTAAATTATGACTTGTGGGAGAGGAAGGAGGTGCAGGGTGGGGGGGCGGGGGGGGAGGGGAGGTGGGGGGAATTAGCGGGGGAGCAGAGAAGG